AGTTAAGATTTTATGTTGCTAATTTGTTTTACATACATGAACCAGGGAGCCATAAGACAGTTTGGAGGGAAAAGGGTTGTGATTTTTATGGTGATTTGGAACTTGAAAACTAGGTTCAGGTCTCCTCTACAATCTTAAGTGACTAACATTACATCCATAAGAGAGGCTCATAAACATGGAATTTCTCTCCAGATGCAGAGAGATGAGCTATTTTCATTACACTGGATGCTCTAAGAAATTGAAACATTTAAAGCTCTAGTAACTGAAGCAATCAGAAGCCAATAAGAGTAAAAAGTTGATACATATTTCAAACATTTTATTTCAACTTTAGTCACATAAAGAAAGTAAAATCTTTCATGAACCTTTGGCTCTCATGTCATGATTAGAGTTCTATGTTGCCTTTCTTGGGTAAACTACTCCCAGGTTTTTTGCTTCCATTTCTTAAAAGCACTTATACCTTCAAGGCACTTGCAAAAAAACTTGAATGCAAAATCTTTTAGATTTTTTTACTACAGTTTTATAATCTTTTACAGCTGTGTATTCCACACCTATGGAATATTAGCTTGTCTGTTGATGTTGCGTTTTTGAAAAATCTTTACAGTCTTTTTTTTTTCTGATTGAAATAAAATTCACTTTTAATCCTTTTAAAGGGTACATAAAATTCAGTGGTTTATAGTACACTTACAATGTTGTAAAACCATCACCACTACCTAATTCTAGAACATAGTCATCACCCCTAAAAAAAACCCTGTACCCATTATCAGTCACTCTCAATTCTCCCCACTCCCATACCCTGACAACCACTAATCTACTTTTTATCTCTATGGATTTGCTTATTGTGGACATTTCATATAAATGAAATCATACAATATGTGGGTTTTTTGTGTGTGGTTTCTCTCACTTAGCATAATGTTTTCATGGTTAATCCATATATTCATATTGTTTTTTAACATGGCTTACTTTTATGGCTCTATATGGCAATCAACTTGGTTTTCACAGAAATAACATTCTTAACTTACCAAACTACATCAGTTTATGTAATTTTTAATTAAATTGCAAAATTACAATAGCAAATACTGGAATAAACAGGACTACGACCAAACACCACCATAAGCACCCACCTCAGCTGATAAAAGCAAAGCACACCCATTTATTAGATGACAGTTATTTACCACAGTGGTCTCGGTGCTCTGAGCAACAACCAGTACATGTTTCAGAGGGGAAAGGAGAGGGTTGGTTTGCCGAGTAAGTAGTTTTAATGTTGGTCAACACTCCATTACCCAGGGCGGAGGGTTACACTTGCAGAGGATGCAGGGGCAGTTAAGTGTCTCCTATACAACCCAACGCAGCCTCAACTGGTCCCCACACAGAAGTCTTCTATACGTCTTCAAAAAGAAGCAAGGATGTGCTCTCATAAGATATGTGTACCCTTCTTCTATAAATGCTTTACCATCCTATCTGTCTTTCCAGGAACAGCTCAAATGTGTCCTCTACTAAGTCTTCCCTAAGCCCTGACTCCTCGCAGCGCCTACATGTTCTCACTCCTTCCTTTTAATTTCCAAAGGGCTTATCTATCTCACGGTGGTTATAAATGGTACTATAGCTAGCCCCGCAATGTCTTTCCTTACATGCCAGGCTGTTAGCTGATTCAGAGGCAGGTTCCGTGCCCTTATGTCACGCACTGCCACCAACACAGGAAAAGAAGTGCTCAGAGCACAATCGTTACACAAATATTTAATAAGGAGTAGAAGTTCAATAAATATTTATGAAGTAATGAATGAGCACATTAATTAAATAATTAATTAATGGTGTGTAATGTCCTACCGGGCTACAGCAACTGACTTCATTCATCAATGTGCAGTATAAGAAGGGGGCAGGTGGGGATCTGACAGGGCACAGTAGTGGGCAAATGAAGAAAATCAACTACTCTGAGTGCCAAGCAGCCATCAGAAATCACGACTCTCCTCCGAGGGCTTGACAGAGATCACTTTCAAATAGGATGCTGCTAGATAATGACAGTTCCTGATGTCCTTTGATATAAAACAAATTAAAAACAGACACAAAAAAAATCTTTGTACTCAAAATCTCCCAACGTCTTCAAGTGTGGATTTGTTTGCTTCTCAATTAAATTATTATACCACTTTAATGGCTGAGTTTTTCAGATATACTAGAAAGGTACTCATAAGAAAATAACTTCCAAATCGGCAATTTTAAAAAGCAAAGCAATTAAGGAATGCATAAACAACCCCAAAAGCTGCACTGAATCCTTTTTTTTTTTTTTTTGGCTGTATACGACTGAAAAACTGCCAAGTTCATTTTGATAAGCCTTTGTTAAAAACAATAAACATGCCTGAGCTTGCAAACCATGTCATTTTGAAGAAAAAGCAATCGAGAGAATTAGAAAGTGCTTAAAACTGCAAAGTCTGATTAAAAAGAAAAACTTCTGTGGAAACGATTTTCCAATAAGTCACAACACCATACCACCTATTAATCTGGAGGGAATGGGGGACAAAATAGAAAGTGAGACAAAATAAAAGCTGAACACCATCTTCATAAATAACTAAGAAGCTACATCTTACAAACTAATACAATTACAGTCTGCAACACTAACACGGAGGCACTCACACTATTGAGAAAATTAATCTTCCCATGCTTCATTAAGTTTAATGTCACCACAGCCAGCCATGTCCCTACACTAAAGGAAACAAAATTTCAGGGACTCTGAATCAACATACATAAAATAACCAAATGTACAAGTTTCTATTCTTGTATAGTAGAATGTCAGTTCATAAACATCAAAGTAATTTCATCAGAATTTGTTTTCAGTGATTTTAAAGTCCGCAGAATCATGGGATTGGAAGGAAGATAATTTGGAATACTTAATGTGCATTTCCTTACGTAGGCAAAACTGAAATTCTCTTCTACCTGTCAAATAAAATCATGGAAAGTTTCTAATGAATGCACTGCAACTTGAGGATCAAAGTTCTTTGTTTTGATCACTGACATATCCCAAATGCCTAGAAGAGCATGGGGCACACAGTAGGCACTCAATAAAAATATCTGTTCAATTGAACTAAATTGAAAAACATGAAAAATGTGCAATGCATTGCTAAAATGCAAAATAAGTCTGCTTAATATTCCTTTCTCAGCTTTGTTATAGGTCTTGGTGTTAATCACAACACACAAATGGTCCTCATATAAACCACTTTTCTCAAATCAGCTCCACAGCCATAAATCACACATTTACCTAACCAATCACCACCACAGGGAGCAGAGAAGCAGACCTAGGAAAGGTGGGGGTAAATTGAGTCCATCTGTTCTGATTACTATTCTTCTGGAAGTTTATCTGAGATGTATCATCATATTCATTTTCATATAAGAATGTAAATGTTATTTAAAATTAAAGGTTTCTATTTTTTTAATTGCACTGCAAAGGTGGTTTGACTACCTTGCATCTATTTCAGAGCCCCATCAGTTTAAAAAAAAGATAAATAAAAATATAAGAGGAAAATGGTATGCTTAGTTGATTCTAGTCATAGCATTTTTTGTTCAAAATGCCTGTTAGCAATACGCTTTGAAAATTGAACTAAGTGGCAAAGAGAAGGCCTGAATTCTGGAATTGGCTCCATCACCAATTAAGACTATGAGCTTTGCCAATTCTTGTCAACCATAATCTGAGCTTCCTGGGCTGTAAGGTGAAGGGTTTGAACAGATGATCTCTAAAATCTTTTTCCAATTTCCAAGATCCTGTGATTATAAGTGATCAAACCTGGTCACTTAACTACTACTCCTTATTTCCATTCTTTATTTCTTCAACAGACACGTTAGATATCTTGGGGGGGGGGTGGATACCATTATCCTAGTTTGGCATGACATTTATTGCGACAGGGGACAAACTATGCAGAGGCAGGTGATGATTTTAAAAGCTAATGATCGCAGGTACCTGTGGAGAACACATGATTCTAAATTTGGCAGGCCTGAACACTTGTCTCCTGGATAAAGCTGGCTGTGCCACCAGAGTGCCCAGCTCTCAGCAAATAAACAGGTAGGGTGAACTAATAAGAGTCCCTTCAGAATGGAAGGCTTTAACCAGTGTGCTTGCTGGCAGGTCCCATCTGACTCAATATAAAATAATAATAATTAATAATAATAATAATAATAATAATAATAATAAAAGTTATAAGAGGTTCATAATGCCGAGTTCTGAAAACAGCAGGCTACCCAAGTAGCCCCAGGACTTGAATCGTGCTTTAAAATTTTCTTGCCAACATTTTTCCCTGAATCCGAACTACAGGTATCACTGCTTTTCTTTGAGGACAAGAAGCAACCGAGAAGTTCAGTTCAGTCACTTGAAGGTTTGAAGGCTGGTGTGTTTTCAGTGCACCACACACGAGAAATAAATATTATTACCTGAGGCAGCGGGGAATTAAAAAAAAAAAAAAGATACACTGAAAACGATCTAGAAGAAAGGCGGTCTCTATTGTACCGAGAAGTCTGCTTTTGGAAACAACAGGAGACGGAGATCAAAGTCGCTCCCTCTCCAGCCACCTGCCCAGAAACTGCTGGAGCGCGGGCCCAAAACCAACAAGGCAAGTGGGCACATGTCTCTCCCTTGACCCAGCAGACGCTCCGAGGGACCCGGGTTGGGGTGGCGGGCTCCCCGGCGCGTTGCTGGGCGCTGGGGCAAGGGGAGAGCGAACCAAATGCCCTCTGCCAGTTCCACGAAACCCAGCCCTACAGCCCGGCGAAGGATGCCTGTGTCACCTGAGACACGGCGCCCTCCGCACAGCCGAGCCCGGGAGCTGGAAGAGAGTAAGCCAACGGGGCCCCTTGGTTCATGTGCTGGGGATCCCGACGCCTCAGTCGCCGGCAGGGAATGCGCCCGGGACACCTCGCGGGGTCAGGCTCCAGTGCTCCGCAGCCGCCCGCAGCGCGCAGACCCCCATTCCGCCCGACCCCGAGCCATGCCCGGCCCCAGCCCGGCCCGGCCGGGTCCTCACCTCGCGTCGACCGCTGCAGCCCAGGTGCTGGCGCGCGGACATGCCCCCGGGGCGCACACACTGTGCCGCGTCTCCGCTCAGTGGCCCCCTCCCGGGCCCCAGGCGCTGCGGTCCGCGCTTCAGAAAGGCGGGGAGTGGACGACGGGGCGGAGGCTCTGGCGGAGCTGGGGCCGGGGGCCCGCGGGCAGCGCTGGGGGAGGGGAGCGCGGCGGGGAAAATCCCAGGGCTCAGCACCCCCAGCTGCGCCGTGGACTTTCTGCCGTGAGAGCGAGTGGGATTTATCCCTGGGATCTGCTCTACGCGCTGCGACTTGGAGAGGGGTGAGAGGTGTGGGGGAGGAGGGACGCCTCGCGGTTATGTAATAGATGGGCCACCGGTGTCCCAAGCCAGCTCGCTCCAGGACTGCCCGACCCTCCCCGAGGAACATCTCGGCAAGGAGAGGGGGCCCGGTGTTCCCCAAAAGAACTTTCCCCTGCGGGGTCAAAGAACAAGATCTCTAAACAGAATGCAAAAACTCCCTTAAGTGTATGTGACAAGGATCTATCAGCGGTTCTCAGCCTGTGGGTCGCGACCCCTTTAGGGGTCCAACGACCCATTCACAAGGGGTCGCCTAAGACCATCGGAAAACAAAAAGATATTTACATTACGATTCATAACGGTGGCAAAATTACAGTTATAGAATAGCAACGAAAATAATTTTATGGTTGGGGGTCACCACAACATGAGGAATTGTATTAAGGGGTCGGTCTTGGCATTAGGAAGGTTGAGAACCGCTGATAGATTGTGCCAGCCAGCCAGTTCTGTTCACAGCACAGGAAACTGAGGCTCCCGTGTTAGTTAAAAGCATTGTCTCTTGGAGTTAGATGGACCTGGATACAACTCTCCTGAGTGACCTTAGACAATTTACTCAAGTATCTGAGCCTCAGTTTCTTCACCTGTAAAATGAGAATGATAATAGTGTTCACTTCATGTGGTTGCGGAGAGGACAAAAATGAATGAGGTTCAGGCGCTGGGTACATAACGCGCCCCCAGTAAAAGTTACTACCTTTGTGCTAAGGTTCAACCAGCTCCCCAAACTTTGCCTTGAAGTCTTGCTGTCTCACTGGCCTGAATAAGGAAGGAGCTGCCTGAGTCTGCCACGAGGTACCGCACCAAGGCAGGTTCCAGACCCCTTCCTGCAAATGTCTCTCCCTTTCAGAAGCGAGTTCTCCAGTTCTAGGAACTGACAAGGTCTGGTTCCAACCTCTTGGGGGTCTATCTACATCCTTCCTACTCAATAGCATCGTCATCATCTGGGAGCTTGCTAGAAATGCAAAATCTCAGGCCCAATCTCAGAGCCCGTAATTTGTATTTTAACAAGAATCCCTAGGTGATGTAGTTGGCTTGTACATCTAAGTTTCAAAATGAGTGCAACTTTCTGAAAAATTTGAGAAGAGGACTAGAGTTACGGAGCAGTGGCCACACAATACCTTAGGGTTTTTGTTTTTGTTTTTAAATAGATTAGTACAATCATTCTTCATTTTACCCTATGGCTATTTTGTCTCTTCCCCTCCCCTGTTTCCTGCTCTTCATAAATCTGGGTTTAAGTTCTTTTTTGCACTTGCAAAAAACTCTGGGTTACATCTAACTAATGACTAGTGAATCTGTCTAAAACACACCAAAAAATTAGCAAATACAGCTTGTAAAAGATTTCATTAGCATTGAAAATGGACTCATAAGTGTAGAGGCAGGGTTGAATCCTGAGCTCTCATCTGTGAAGGTCTTTAGGTTAAAGGCTTGAATACTTTTGCAGCTCAGAAAAATACTCCTCTTAGTTAAATATTACTTGGGGCGGCAAATAAGCCCCATTCTCCATTTAAATAACATAGGACAATCAGTCTTTTAAAAAGTTTTGGAGAATAGAAAGAAACCTCACAGGCTTCCTTTCCATCTAAGTCACCACTTATAGGGACACTAGCAAAGCTCAAAGCAAATATTTTGTTTATCTCATTAAACGTTGTATGTTTTGGTTTGGTGTTTGCTTGTTTTTGATTCCTAGAGTGTTCAGATTTAGTTTGCCTGACTCTATCTCTGGCAGAATGATTCTTATTTTCTTTTTTTTTTTTTGATATTCAATATTATTTTATAATAATTTCAGGTGTAGTTAGACATTTATATAATTTATTAAGTAATCCCCCTGACTGGTACCCACCTGGCAGTATGCATAGTTACTACCATATTATTGATTATATTCTGTATGCTTCACATCCCCATGACTATTTTATAACTACCAATATTTATTTCTTAGTCCCTTCACCTTTTTCACCCTGTCCCCAATCCCCTCCCATCTATCACCCAATAAATCTAGTACTCTTCTAACACCATACATAGTTATTACAATATTACTGACTATATTCATTGTGCTATACCCTACATCCCCATGACTACTTTGTGACAACCAATTTGTGTTCTTAATCCATTCCCCTTTTTCACCTTTTGAGTGGAGCATTTAATCTATTTAGATTGAAAATAATTGTTGATAGATATGTAGTTATTGCCATTTTATTATTCATATTTTTTATTTTTTTCCATCTTAAAGAAGTGTAATACTGGTTTGGTAGTGATGAACTCCTTCAGCTTTTCCTTGTCTGGAAGCTCTTTATCTGTTCTTCGATTCTAAATGATAGCCTTGCAGGGTAATCTTGGTTGTAGGTCCTTGCTTTTTTATCACTTTGAATATTTTCTGCCAATCCCTTCTGGGCTGCAAAGTTTCTGTTGAGAAATCAGCTGACAGTCTTATGGGAGCTGCCTTGTAGATAACTAACTGCTTTTCTCTTGCTGCTTTTAAGATTCTTTCTTTGTCTTTAACCTTTGCCATTTTAATTATGATGTGTCTTGGTGTGGGACTCTTTGGTTTCATCTTGTTTGGGACTCTCTGCACTTTCTGGGCTTGTATGTGTATTTCCTTGGCCAGGTTAGGGAAGTTTTCCATTATTATCTCTTCATATAGGTTTTTTTTTTTTTAAGATTTTTATTGGGGAATTAGGGGATGGGAACAGCACTGGGGAATTGGGGGAAGGGGAACAGACAAGTTGGTGTCCTTTTGTTCTTCAGTTTAGTTGTGGAGGACATTGCTTCATTGGCCCAAGTTGGCACCATCATTGCGCTCTCCCCAGGTGAGGCAGATCAGTCGCCAGCTTCTGGACGGCCGCTCATGAGGCTGCTGCATGCTCACGCTGGCTGCTGGCTACACACGGTAGCCCATGGCAACCCACTGAAGTAGGGGTCTACGCAGTGGCCAGAGACTCACAGCAGCCCAGCTCCAGGTTGAGCTGTTGTTCAGCATCTTAGCTGTGGAGGGCAGTGTCACTGGCCCTCATATGTGGGATCTGAACCAGGGCCCTCTGGCGTCCCAAGCCAGCTCTTAACCAACGTGCCACTCGGCTGGCCCTCTTCATATAGGTTTTTAATTCCTTGCTCTCTCTCTTCTCTTTCTGGTACCCCTATAATGCAAATGCTGGTATGCTTGATGGTAACCCATAGGCCCCTTAAACTGTCCTCATTTTTTTGGATTTCTTTTTTGTGTGCTGTTCTGATTGCATGTTTTCTGCTACCTTATATTCTAAATCACTGATTTGATCCTCTGCTTTATCTAATCAATTGTTGATTCCCTGTAATATATTCTTCATTTCCATTATTGTATTCTTTATTTCTGACTGGTTCTGTTTTTCCATCTCCATTTTTATGTTTCCTATCTCTTTGTTGAATTTTCCCCTGATCATTGAGCATCTTTATAACCAGTGTTTGGAACTCTGCGTCTGGTAGATTGTCTCCATTTTGTTTAGTTCTTTTTCTGGAGTTTTGTTCTGTCCCTTTATTTGGGACATGTTTGTCTCCTCTTTTTAGCTTCCTCCCTGTGTTTGTTTCTATGTATTAGGTAGGGCTGCTATGTCTCCCAGTCTTAGCAGAGTGGCTTTATGTAATAGGTGTGCTGTGGAGCTCAGTGGTTCATTCTTCCTGGTCATGTGAGCCACGCTCTCCAGGTGTGTCCCTTGTGTGAGTTGTTTGTGCCCTCCTCTTGTAGTTATGTCTTGGCTGCTATTTGCACATGAATGGGAGGGATTGACCCTCGGGCTCATTGGTTGTGAGGACTGGCCATGACTATAGTAGAGGAGTTGTGGTGCAGGGGCTGACTCTACAGGACAGGATCTGCCTTAGCAGGGCTCTGGTGCCTGCCCAATCTGCCCTTTGGGTGTGTTGGCCTTGAAAGTGGCTGGGTGGTACTCCAGCTCATTTTGAAGCTGGTCACTGGGCGCACTGGCCCCAGGGCAACCTGAGGGGGGATCCTCTGCAGGTCAAGTTCAGCCACAGCCTGTGCCCCACCTAGGGCCACCCTGCAGGAGCCACAAAGCAATCTCCAGATGGCACCTGCCTGTGCCATGCTTGGAAGTGCCTCAAGAGGCAAGCCACAAACCAAGGCTGGATGCCACTAGTGCCAGGCTTAGGGCTACTAAGTCAGAGGTACGGGACATTGTCAAGCCAGATGCTGCTTGTCTGGGTTCCTTGAACTTTTTAGAGACCCTAGGAAAGTTTGCAGCATGAGTCAAGGCAGGCGGTTTGTATGAAAAAGCCACTGGAAGCAGCTTGGGTATGCCCAAAAGTTGGAAAAGGCAGGATCTCAGAATCACTAGGGCATGGAAAACCCAAGGCATTAGCCAGCTTGATGCAGACTCAGATATGGTGGCCGCCTGTATCTGCACACAGGAAAGAAGGAAGGCTCAACAAAGAAACAATGACTTTCACCAGCTCCTCTGTCCCACTTGCATCACCTTTTGCCTCTCCAGCTACTGCCTCAGTGCTAGACCTCAGAGCCAGTGATACCATTGGTGGGTAAGTCCACGCGCAGTCCCTTTAAGAGGAGCACCTGGGAGTGCAGCCACCCTCTGTCTCAGCCACAATCTCTGCTGGTTTTCACAGCCAGAAATTATGGGGACTTCTCTCCCCTGCACTGGAACCCTGGCCTGGGGAGGGGCTGGGAGCCCTTACTCCTCCAGGGGGGACCTCCACAGCCGAGCTATCCCTCCCAATTTTTAATGGTCACACACCAGTGTGGGACCAGCCCATTCTGCGTCTCTACCCCTCGTACCAGTCTCAAGGTGGCTTCTCCTGTATGTTCTTAATTGTAGGACTTCGGTTCACCAAGATTTCAGGCGATTCTCAATGATGGTTGTTTTGTAGTTTAGCTGTAATTTTGATGTGGTCATGAGAGAAGGTAAGCACAGCATTTACCTACTCCACCATCTTAACCGGAACTCTTTGATGCTCTTCTTTTGAGAGATAAGTAATTGTGGATCATTGAAGAGAAGGACGCTAATGCTGACAGGTTGTACCTG